CCCAAACCTTCAAAACCTCAATGGACGCTCTCCTCTCCACCCTGCACACAGTAGACGTCCACATGAAGCGCCAAATCCTCGCCCTCGAAGAAGCCTCCATCATCAAGCTCCGCAACGACGCCGATCCCAAAACCCGACAACCCGTCATGAACGAGGACGCCAAAATCGTCGCCCGACCCTCCCTCGAGCCCAACGGCGTCGGCACCATTGGTAACCTCGACGTCGGGTGGCTCAATAGCCGCAACAACAAGGTCGAGCGCGACATGGAGGCCGAGTTGTGGGCCAAGATGAGGGAGCTGCTGGAGCGGTATCACGCCAAGGAGGTGGCCGAAGGAGCTGGTGGTGGTATCAAGGATGAGAGGATGCAGGAGTGATGGAAAAGCTGGCAGTTTAGTAGAAGCAAGCCTGGGAAATGTCTGGATGGCTCGGTGATGGAAGTCTGTCTCATTTACTTCATACCAAAGTGGTATTGGAACGAGAAGAAGAGCCTAATACCAGGCGCACTCTTGCCAGCAGACTTGCGCGGGAGACCAACAATTGATACCCTATTACATTAAATCGTTTGCAGTTCTTGGGATGGATGGAAGGCATCAAAAGGGGCAAAAAAGCAAAAGCTCAGGTACCCAGTCCGTAAATCGAACTGGGCCCCTACGAAATCCTCCATCCGTTGACTTCTCGAGATTTCATACCAAGTTCTGTACTAACGGACCAGGGCGTTATACCGCTCGACCATGAGGATCGAGAGGGCTTGGTTGAAGGAAGGTCGACCTCAATCTGAATGTAAGGCAAGCTACTCGACGCAGGTCCTGAATCCGCAGACCCGGCATAGTCAATACTCGAGGAATACGCACACATACCTAACTTCCGCAACATGGCCGAAAACGATTCGACCCCGTATGCTTGAATGACAGGGGCGTTTCCTGAATGATACTTCAAATTGATACCTATTACGCGTGCTTTCGTTACCCGTCCGCAGCCTAGCCACCAGTGATTATGCTGTACCCCCATGATCGCATGCTAACGTGAAAGATGCCTCTCGAAACGCCATCCAATGAACAAAATTCCAGTTGCCGACCGCCATGAAGAAAAGCACTATTCCAGCTTTCCATCGGTTCATGGCCTCTCATGTATCGCTCTAGCCATGAACCCGCGCGTCCTCCCCTACAACCCCACGAAACAAAGTGAAATTAAACTTCACCAAGTTGACAGTGAAATGAGTTTCAATATCTGCTTAGGCCTTGAAGCGCTTGTATGCCTTGACCAGGCCTACGTCTTGCTTTGTGACGGCGATCCAGTCAGGGGCATATTGTAAAGCTTCGTCCAAGGCAGGGATTGTCCCGCGAACGTTGGCATCACTCCAAGAGCACGAGATCGTTCCGCTGAATCCTGTAGACTTTCGAACCCGGCGAATCCGAAGTTCCTCGTGCTCCTTGGGAGTCTCCTTGTGAACTGACTCCGCGGGCTTAGCCGCCGAGGGCTTGGCAGCTGGTTTGACGTCAATCGTCCATGGGATAGACGAGTCCCTCCGCCAAAGCGTGATGCCGTTAATGCCCCCTTCAGTAGGTGTGCTGAAGAGGGAGTCGATACCGGCGCCCTCCCGAACGTCAAACGTCACAGCGTCGTCGAAATTGAGAACGCACTGCTTTGACTCTGGGGCATCAATGCAAAGCTCATACTCATTGGTCGAGTTCGAGTAAGTGATGTTAACAGTCACGAGATGTGCGTATGGATCCTTGGAAGACACGAGTCCGGAAGACGAGGTGCTCTTAAGCTCAGGCAGTCTGGGCAACACTGCAGATCCATCAAATCGACAATCAGATAGCAAGCCAGCTGATGGAGTGCAAATAACTTCCCGGCCTGCCGCAGATGGCAACTCGTTGATCATTTTGCGGGCGTACTTTTGCAGGCCGAGAATCGAAACTGAAGAGTTTCCATTATCCAGGTCCAAGTGCTGAATGAACTTGACCTTGTAGCGGTTGTTCGCGGAGAACGGGAAGGCGGCAAGGTTGTAGATGAGACTGACGAGGAAAATGAATAACAGGGCCAACGGCACGTAGGAGCTCGTCCTGTGGATGAATGGAGTAAGAGGCAAAGAAATCATGATACTGAAGACGGCAATCGCGGTATAGAGAAGCAAAGGGTCCACACCATCGGCGCCAATGGACTGCATGGCCGAGGTGATGAACAGAGCCACTTGGAGGAAGACGATGATGGTGATCGGAGCGAGCAGAAGGAGTTGGAAGAACCAGGTCCAAGATGGGAGCTTCGCTGACCACGGTTGTTCTTTCTCATAGGGTTGCTTCTCTCTTGTTTCCTTAGTCTCCTCGTCGTCGTCATCTGGGTTGGACATGATGGCAGAGAGCGAGCGTCGGTAGGTTGTTGCGAATGTCGTGCGTATTGTGCCATTATTTCCACTGCCATTGTCGCCACTCCTAAGCGGCGTTGTTTCCGTGGGCTCTTCAGTGGTGCCCTCCTCGTGCGGACTCGGAGAAATCAAAGCATCAGAATTGGGAACCTCGGATATGTTATCCCTAGACTGCTGATCGTCGTGAGCCGTCTCTGCGTAGGCTCGCTTGCTCGGGAGCGCGAAAAGGTCGCAGAGAGTGATGAGCGTCGCAACAAAGACGGCGGAATGGAAGAACGCAAAGAGATATCCCGAAGCAATCTGGAATCGGTCGGCGGCGGTCGTAACAGCAACGAGGATAGCCCAGCTCAAGATGAAGAGCCAAATGTGGGCATAACCGCGTTGAAGAGCGCTCGGCCTGACGGCGTTGGCGCCGCGCGAGATTGTCCAGAATACGAGAAAGAACACAGACAAAGTCATTGCCCAGCTGTTAGTGTAAAGCATCAGCTTGGAAACGTACAATGGAGTTGACTTGACTTACACTGCATAAGGACTGCTGGAAACAATCTCAGGGTTCAGTCTTCGAACCAGGAGGGCAGAAAGGACGGTGATCGCGCCCGAGAAAATAAGGGCCAAGGGGAAACGGAAAAAACCCTTCCAACCGCCAAGAGGGACCGATTCGTCGTCAATGTCTATCTTGACCTTCCTCGAGAAGAAGTAGTACTTGTCCTGCCTCGACAGGATGTAGGTGACGAGGACCAAAATCAGGGGAGACACAATGAGCAGGGTCAATGTCCACGCGAAGAGGCCACGAAGCTCAAGAGTGGCGAATCCCTTGCCAAACATGTCGAACCAAACGCCCTCTGTTCCGGAACCGCTTGAAACCTTCTTCTTGTCTCCGTCATTGCGCTTACCGGTGAAGGAGCCCGAAGTCTGCTGAAGCGAATCAACAGCAGCCAAGCCGTTGGAAAGCATGTGCCAAAGGCTCTCTTGCGAGGCATGTCGGGTATCGTCTTGGTTAGTGTGGTACCGCGCTCTAGGTCGGTAGAATGCGATATCGAGGCCGCGCTGGCCAAAGTTCTCGACCCACACCTTGTAATCCGTTTCGCTCTTAATCGCTCGAAGCTTGAAGCCGTCTGCAGCAACAACGGATCCAAAGGGATGAGGAGCGTTGGCGTAAGCCTTGGATACCTCCAAGTCAGTGGTTCTGAAGAGGATGGCTCGCCCTCCCGCGCCGGCACCCTCGAGATTCACGAATGAGGTTGTGAAGTAGTAGAGAGGGCTGTAGTGGTAGGCTCTGGCTCCGTACAGGCCATCCTCTTCGCCGTTGTTGAGCAATAGTACGATTCCACGCTTGGGCTGCTGGCCAGGAGAAGTGAAGTAGTTGAGCATTTGAAGAACGCTTACACAACCCATGCCGTCGTCAGTGGCTCCATAGCCGGTGGAGACTCTGTTCGTCTGTCAGCATGAAGGCCTGGCACAGCAAAGATACCACTTACGAGTCGTAATGAGCATTGACGAGAACGCCGCCCTGGCCAATGTTGCCACGCTTGCCCTTCCACCATTCACCATCTTCGTCTTCTGTGCCGCGGATGTATACAAGCTTGTTTGTGCCCTCAAAGTAGGTTGCATGGGCCGAAGTACCAGGTTGACCGAGTGGGCCAGAGGTGCCAGCATAGGTCACGTTTGAGATTATGTCGTCGAAGACCGTTACGAGGGGGCCAGTCGAAGCACGCTCAACGGCATCTTCGCGTGGAAGTGCTGGTGTGCCACTGCAGCAACCTCTAGTCAGCACGTTTTCTCGGCACAAGAACGAATACACGGAATTTACTCACTGGGCGTCCTGAGGCCAGACAACGCCACCTGCATGCTTTTCCTTGGAATAATCGACTCCATTGCGTTGCAAGATCTCATCGATCCGGGTCAAGAGGTATGCGCCCACCTCATCGTTGGCACGGCTGTTGTACGGGTGGTAGTTCTTGGTGATGTGCGTCAAGTCCTGCCATGCCTCGGTTACATTGACGCCAGTGTAAGGATTGTGGCTAGGAACAGACGGCACGGATTCGTGAATCCAGACAAGGGGAACGAGGAAGGCCGCGTAGACGACAATCAGCCAGAAGGTGACCGGACCTGTCGTGAACCCGAATGGGTTCTTGGCAGCCATTGCTACCGAATGTTGCTGGGATTGCCCGATGGAATACTCCTGACCGCGTCGCTGAAAGCTTCGCAATGTAGCTGATACGGTCTCGAGTCCTGCCAGACGATGCGAAGAGGCTACGAAGCTCCGAGTCTTCCAGCTTTGGCCTCGGAGGAAAGGCTGCGGAGATGGCCGGAGCCTGCTCGGTAGAGGGGTTGCGTGAACGAACCCTCGGAAGCTCAGATAAGGCAAAGCGATAGATAATTGCGACTAGGTAGTGTTACAGGGCATATAGGCGCAAGCAATGGATGGGCCTGGGAAACCCTTGCGAAACAACGATAGCAGTCGATCAGCGGGGAAAACGAACGGGTCACGGAGGAAGCTGACGAGAAATGGCTAAAGGCGAATAAAGGCAACGGAGCAAAGTTGTCAGCCGACAGAAGGGAAGTTCTGCAGGTGGGATGAAGGACGAAGGAGGCTGGAGGTGGAAACGCCGCGCTCAGGGTGTGGGAAGGCGTCATGCCAGATCTGGGACAGACACTGGACGCACCTTCCTGGCCTGGGATGATGTGCAGTGGGCCGGAGCTGGCTGCTGCTGCTGCTGCTGCTGCTGTTAGGTACTGCTGTACGGTATCTTAGGTGGCCCAAGCTCCCATGTTCTGTTCTAGAGCGCCAACGGCGGCCTCCATTCGAGCCTCAGGTAGCCCACCCACCCACCCACTTCACATGCAAGGCGAATGTCATCGATGCGGGGAACTTATGCAACCTCGCCCAGAAAACTTGCGACTGGCTCTCTTCAGTCTTGGCCCGTTGAAATTTGATTGGACTTGGAGTGGTGTTGGACATCAAGATATCGTAGCGCCACGATACAGAGTTTCGGTGACAGCTTGGGTGGCTAGTCATCTTGAACTCTCTACTCTTTCTGCCTCTCCAGCACTCGGATCCGACTCCGATACAGCGCTTTGAACTTTCAAGTGTGTCGCAAATAACTTCACGTGGACAGGCTAGATTTCCTCAATTGGGATGAACTTCATCTTTTGGCTATAAAACAAACGCACCGATGCATAAAATAAGCCTATGGATTAGTGTCCACTAGAATTCCCGTTCCCGTTCTATCGTACAATTTGCTTTCTTGTGTCCGCTGTTTTGTTGATTCTGCTTTTTTGCGTTAAGTGCTTGCTGCCCACACTGGGGTCTTCAAATACTCAGGAGAGAGAAAACACGTTGATGCGTAGGTGCGAACACTTGTCCAACCCTGGAAGTCATGATATGAATCCTTGGTTGTTAGTTGAGCGTTAGTTGTCAACGTAGTCGGTGTGCAGATGCAAGCTTAGCATCAAAGTTAGTCGTCTGATCTACCTCCTAGCTCCCTCAAACCACTTCAGGCACCAGGGGGAGGTGGGGGAGGTTGGTCGCTGGGAGGCGGAGGAGGAGCATTGTCCGAGGGAGGCGGGGGAGGGGCGCCTCCGGCATACTGCTGGATGAGTGCGTTGAGGCCACCAGCCAGACCTGGAGGAGCTCCAAGACCAGGAGCACCAGGAGGCGGCGGAGGGGCGCCAGATGGCGGTGCGGCCATGCCAGGAGGAGCACCGTATCCCGGGTATCCACCATAGCCACCGTAGCCGTTCTGGGTTCCGGGAGGCTGATGCCAGGGAGCGGCACCGGGAGCAGCGCCAGCAGATTGACCACCGTAGCCACCTTGGCCGCCACCGCCATAGTGGTCACCGCCACCATAGCCGCCGTGGCCGCCTCCGTGGCCGCCTCCGTGGTCATCACGACGGTTGCGATCGCGAGCCCAAGGTGCAGGACCACCGCCGCCGCCGCCACCACCGTCACGGTCGCGGTCACCACGATCGCGATCATCGCGTGAGTCGTTGTTACGGCTGCGCCAAGGAGCAGGTCCGCCGGTAGGGCCACGCTGCCAGGGCTTCGCATCACCGCCGCTGGGTCCGTTGTTATTGTAGGAACCAGGGCCGGCTTCGATGCGTGCAGGTGCAGCGCCACCGGCTGAGCCGCCGCCGAGTTCTTGCATGAGTTGCTATCGCAAAGTCAGTATTGGGGTTGTGGATAAGGAATGCAGAAAAACGTACCTCGTACTCGCGGTCGACAGCGTCTCCGCCTTCAATGCGGCCAGCCGAGTCAGTTCTGCCGGCGCCGTCATTGCGCCAGCTGGCACCCTTCTGTCTGTCGGGACAATCTCTAGCCATGTGTCCAGCGTTGCCACAGACGCGGCAGATGATGCTGGCAGTGTAGTTCTGGCGCTCGGGACAGTCGTACTTGCGATGGCCGATCTGGCCACAGTTCTGGCAAGCCTGGTTCTCGTCGTCACGGAGGGTACCGTTGAGGGCAGCAAGCTCACGAAGCTGGTTGCGCTTGAGCTCGTTCTGTCCTTCGGGAATGGAGGCGGCCTAGCAAAAGAGATATTAGCATTCGCTACCAATCGTCATTGAAAAGGGGGGAGGGGGAACTTACGGTTTCAATGACGTTGTGAATGAGTTTCTTGGCCTTATTGACCTTCTCCTCTGTATCGGCCATAATGAGACAGTGAAGATCCTCCTCCTGGTTGCTGGCGTGAGCTGCGTCCGAACGGCCTTTGCCCTCCTTGACTGAGCCCTTGCCGCGAATGGCAATCTTGGCGCCGGATTCTCCCTCCATCTTCTTCAAAGTGTTGCCACGGGGTCCGATAAGTAAGCCGACTTTACGACGAGAGCTAAGCGTTAGTGTCTGTATCAAAAGGGTGAAGCAAGTTATATGACGGTCCCAGTCTCCAAACAAGGCCAGGTCTGACAAGACACCTGGAGGATGCATGACAAGCTTGGCCAGAGTCCAGGCAGGGAACAAGGGAAACAAGAAATTTTGGTTAGGGTTAGAGGGTTAGCAATCATACTGAAGTTAATTTCTGGGTAATCGTTAACAGGCACGTAGACCTTCTCTTGGGTCTTGGTGGGCCTGCGGTAGTCCTGTGGCGGGTGGTAGTTAGGGATAGTCTTCATGGCCTTTTCGATGAGCTTGTGGCGCTCGTCTTCGAGGCGCTTGCGGTATCGGTACTCGCGCGTGTTGATACGGCGACCGTGGTTATCGTACTGGGGAGCAGGAGAGGGTGATCTGTAGACAGTGGCAGTTAGCGAGGTGCTGCGCATTGCTGGACACGTGTGGACAACGTACCTGTCTCCATCCGCGGGAACGACGTCGTCAATGCGAAGCTTCTGGCTAATTTCCGTAATACGGAGATGAAGGGTGTAAGCCTCCAACTGCTCGCCGGTCATGTTCGCCGTGATGGCCGTCGTCAAGCCCATCAATCCGGCAGCCTTGTTTTCGGACGCGTCGCCCCAACGGTTTCTCTTCTTTCTGCGGCGAGGGCCATCGGCATCGGTACCTGGAAGCGACGTTAGCATCTGCTATAGTAGGAGGAACATGATGCAATGCGAAGACTTACGAGGCTCTGGGCTGCGACCGCGCTTCAGCTCTCCGTTGCCATTGCTGGGGGGAGCTTCCTGGAACTCCTCCTCACCACCATCATCGCCGCCAAACCGGCGCTTTCCCAAAGGGATGTTGTTGGAACCCGTGATTCCCTGGTTTCTCCACGACATTTTGACTGATGCGCGATGGCAAGCAAGCTGTCAGTCAGAGGGAATAGGGTGGTGTGATGGTGATTATGGATTTCGATGGTTGAGGGAAGGGAACTTTTATATGGAACCGTTGCAATAGTATGGGAGGGCCCTCACTGAACAGGAATCTTTCAGCCTGGCGCCTTCTGTCCTCCAGCTAAGGGGCGAGAGCCAATTGGCCCGAATTTTTGGGCGCCACCGAGGCGGGCCCGATGAGGAAGCTCGATAGGTGCACGTGACAGCCTAAGTCCGATTCCACAGACACGGACCGAGAAGAGGACTAGCGCCAACGGTCGGTCGAACCTTCGTCTCAAAAGCACAATGAACAGAAAAAGAAAAGGGCAACTGGAACAAAACTCCAACCAACGAAGCTTGCAACCCATCCCAAACACCGTATTTTGATGATGTTTGACTTGCACCAGCGGCAATGTTTCAAAATTGTCAAAAATGTGATCAGTGGGAGGCTTGAACTCCCGGCCTTGGCATTACACAACATTTTATATGAAATATTAGTACCACGCTCTAACCAACTGAGCTAACCGACCCGATTGGACTCATTTGAGCTTGAATGCAATGCTGGTCTCCAGACTCATGAAGGTCGCGGTTCCGGCGCGACTCGCAGTTGTGCGTTGTTCTGCAACGATATCCTTCATTAGTCAGTAGAAACCAACATGCTCATAGTTAGAAATCCAATGGTTTTCTTTTTTAGTCTGAATTATTTGTTCATCGGTACTTTTCACGGCCCGTTCCCTTGAGCTCACTTCTTGGCAGCATCATCCTTCATCCCCTGCTGAATCCACGCAGCAGCCCCCTTGGCCTTCTCGTCGAGCTCCTCATCCGTCATCTTGAAGTGGTCCAGCGCCGTGTGCTTGGACGGCACGTGGCGGCCCTGCTCGAAGCCGGGCCTCTCCACCAGCTTGAACAGCCACGCCTTGAGCGCGGGGAACTCGTCCAGGTCGATACCAGCCCACTTGCTCGCCGCCACCCAGCCCCAGCTGGCGATGTCGGCAATAGTCACGCGGTCACCGACGAGGTAGCCGCTGGGGTTCGCCGCGAGCGCTGTGTCCATGGTGCGGTACAGACGGCGGGTCTCGTTGGTGTAACGGTCGATGCCGTACTGGATCTTCTCGGGTGCGTAGCCTGTGCGAGAGTCAATTTATGAACAAAAGAACACGGAAGCAATTGAGGAGTTGGCGCACGCTTAAAGTGGTTGGCTTGTCTGAATACTCATTAGCTCGCCGTCATCTCATCAGAAGTGAGAGGCAACTTACCCCTGCATGGGACCAAGGCCACCCATCTGCCAGTGCAGCTACACCTCTTGCGTCAGCTTCACGGCACTCATGGTCATGTGTAAGTAGACCATACCCAGTTGTTCACCTCCCAGTACTCGCGCGAGCCATAAGGATAAGAGACCTTGTGGTCCTTGTCATAGCGGTCGACGAGGTACTGCAAAATACTTCCCGACTCAAACAGGCGGATGGTCTTGCCATCCTCAAACTTGTCGGTCAAGGCAGGGATACGTCCATTGGGGTTGATCTCCAGGAACCAGGGCTCCTGCACTCGTGCATCAGCATAATGGCCTCTAGAGGGGTTGAAAGTAGACCCTCAGGCTACTGAACAAATGGAGGTCTCTGAGATGCCAACCTTTTGAGTGTTCTTTGAGATGTCAATGGGCGTGACCTGGTACTCCAGGCCGAGCTCTTCGAGGAGAATGGACACCTTGATGCCGTTGGGGGTACCGGTGGTGTACAAGTGGATATCGGTCTTGGTCTTAGCAGCCATGTTGAAGATTTGTTTACTCAATTGTCCTAGCCGAGATGTCATATGCTTACGATGTAAGTGTTGAACGGAGGTTTTACGTGATGTCGCCGCGATGTGCAGAGAGTGAAGTTGTGTTTTGGGTCTAAATACTGAATACTAATCCACCTGCCACTGCGCTCGACGCCACTTGGGTGCATTTATACGAACCCCTCACTCTGTGAACGAGAGCTATGTAAGCTGCCATCATCTTAATAATCCAGGCGGGCGCCCCACACACGGTCCGTGGAAGCTGGCACGCTGGGCCACTGTCTGGCAGCTCTTGCCTGCGTATACCGTGGTACCGTGGCACGATTGCTTCCGTCAGAGTGACCCCTCCATTGCAATTTGCAGTAGAAAGGGCGCGGGGCTTTCACTTTTCTTTTGCTTAGAAATCACGACAGGGACTGTCTCCAGCCCACATGTCGTCACTTTCCCCGCGCCCGGTTGGTGTGCCGAAGTGTGGGGCCTCCGGTGCAGTTGCGACTGTCGACTCCAAGTCCGAAGTCCTTCCCAAAAGGTCCAACCTCTAATCACGGAATGACTAGGCACGTCGACCTCCTTCAAGGTACCAAACAGACCGTGGTGCCTTTCATTCATCAACGTGGCCCAGCAGAATCGATCAGGCATCTCCTCCGTACCTCAGCCCACAGACTTCGCTCAACCCCAGGATGCCTGTCTGCCTGCGCCCTATCATGACCAAAGCCGGCTGACGGGGACCCGGGCAGCCAAGCTCCGTGGTGCTATGAATCCCGTCGATAATGCTCAGCTACGGGACATGTATGGTTTTCGAAACCAAGTGAAGCTCACAGATTGGAGAACCGCAATCGCCGTGGGAACAGACTTTGCGGATAAATATGCTAAATTGGCCATCATGGGACCCAATATATGGCTAACTTCTTAAAATGGGCGGCATTTTCAGACATTCCCGTGTCAAAAGGTTGATGTCGCCATTGACCTTTTTAGGTCCAACTGGTAGATAAAGACGAAGATATCCTTCTACTAATATACAAGACTTTGCTCCTTTTTAGCGGCTTAAGCCGTAAGGTAGCAGACGCAACATCATTGAATGAAGGAAAAAACAACCCAGGCCACAGAACTCGGGATCACTTACAGGAAACAACACCAAAGACGCTAAAAGGGGCAAGCTACGGTGCAGTATCGTTGCTCTCCATACTGCATTTAGCTACGACCGCTCATTGAATGCTCCCATTCAGACAACATGGCAGAATAAGGGCCGAGTTCAACGCCACCTTCCTTATCTTGTTGGCGATACACATCCTCGAAGGTTGTAGGCGGTGGAGGAACCCATGGCTCTGGAGCGTCAACGTTGGGAGGAGGAACGCTCGACGTGATCATCTCGTCGAAGGCCTGGGCTTGCTCTTGTTGCGTGTTGTCGGACCCATCCATTTCGTCGAACAACAGGTCGATCTGCCCTTGTCCTATGGCGGCGGTCCCGAGATTGGCATTTACGAGCCAATCCAGGTCGCTCCAGTGGTCTGCACCCTGGGACTGGGCAGACTGGGGGGACTGGTGCTGGGACTGGGACAGGGTCTGAAGCTGAGACTGTGGTTGAGACTGTGGTTGAGACTGCTGCTGGGCCTGGAGCTGCTGGACCTGAAGTTGTTGTTGTTGCAGCTGCTGGTATTGCAGCAGTTGTTGTTGCAGGAGTTGCAGCAATTCATCTTCTTGTTGCTGTTGCTGCTGTTGCTGCTGCTGCTGTTGCTGTTGCTGCTGCTGCTGTTGCTGCTGCTGCTGTTGTTGCTGCTGCTGCTGCTGCTCTTTCTGCCGATGTTCGAGCTTTCTGTTCTTCCGGCGCTGCCCATCACGTTTGCGCTTCTTCTTATTTTCTTCAAGCTGCGACAGGGAGTACGAGCCCTTCCAGGTCTGCATTTGTCTACCCAGGCACTCGCAATGACCCTGCAGGGTGATGTTCATCCCCTGGAGAAATTCCCACCCTGCACCATTATGGGCAGGGACTTGCTGCGACGGCGTCAGACCCGGCATCAACTCGGGCGTCAGCTGCGACTGGTTGGGGGCCGAGGAAGCATCGGGAGCTTTAGTGGTGCCGTTCATGATGACAGTCTCGAGTGGTTTACACTGTCTTTCTAGGTCAGTTGTTTATTCACGTACGAACAGCGAGGCTAAGTTGTGGGAGAAGAGTGACAGGAGACAAGTCATGTTGGTACAAAAGCTATATTCACGAGGGACGTTATGGGTAAGGACATGGTATAAGAAGCTTACTAGGCGAGCGACGGAGAACGAAGTGCAAAAGCAGTTGTGCGTTGAGCTATTCTGGCTATTGAAGCTAATGCAGGTGAGGTCAGAGATGCTCTTCCGGGAGGTATAGTTGTATGGCCGACGAAGCTTACCAAAGTACTTGACAGGGCTTATCGAGGACGAAAGAACCAAGGCGAAAACCAAGCAAAGATTGACGATACACACGAAGAAGCGATGGATCCGCGAATAACGGAAACGAGTATGAAGAGGGAAGAAAGGTCGAGGTGTAGAGGCGGACGGGCAAAACGCGTTTTAAGGCCCAAGGGAATGCGAGGTAAAGCTCTTCAAAACTCTCCTCCCTCCCCCGATGCTGATCCAACTTTGTGGCTGACAGACGCGCGATTTAGAACGACACGACGCCCTCAGTCCTCTCAACTCATGAATCTTATCTCGCCCTGGGAAATCGAGATCGTGCACTGTGTAGAGCACCCCTTGGTTCTAGGACTCTCGTGGCTTCGCTTGTTGGAAGTGAGGCTCATACACAGTGCCGCCGCGTCTGGCACCGGTGTCAAACGCATTATACTTTCTACCGCCGCAGATGCGTGTAAGTACCTTGGTGTCAAAGACTACCTCTACTCTATGATATGGCGAGGTGAGAAATGATTTGGTAAAGAGCTACGATGGCGTGAGTCCTGCCGCGTATCGTAGAGGGCGCGTGCGGAGGAAGTCAGGCGACTGGCCTGCTTCACCTTTTGGAATAACAAGGCAATCTCCGAGCTGAGATCCGAATAAGCTCTAACAACAGTAGACAAAGTGACGGACTACGAGTAAGTCACCCCATCCTCACGACAAGCCCCCCTCTGGGACGTTTCCAAACAATGGACTCGATATCTTGATTCGAAGAGTCTACCCTCTCTTACCTCGAGATCTATGAAACAGTAAGTAGCTTGAGAACGTCACTGCCTGCACGACAATCGAGATATCATAGAACACGGCAATCTAAGCAGACCGAGCCAACCGACCAAAGAGGTGCAGAAGGTTGCTGACAGCGTGTTCTAGCGCCAACCTACTTCCACGTCGGACACCAACTTAACGGCACAAGCTGAGGCAAAATGAGCCAGTCCAGACCACCCACGGTAGCCGTATTGCTAGTTTAATGCAATCCTGGATTTCCTCGATAACAGGGTACTTAGAGCCTCGATATGCCTGACGGCTAGGGAGCGCGGCAAGGGACAGAACCGATATGCGACATCGAATCACCCGAGCAACTTGAAATCGGCGTACTGAGGAACGAAGATATTATTAGGCAGTCTTTTTGCGATAGTGGCCTGAAATCCTCAGCTTTCAAGGGTTCAAATGGCTGGCATACAAGACTTTTGCCTTTGAATGAACAGCCGCCGGCTCCCTGCTGAGCCGACCTTCTAAGTACAAGGAAACAGAGGCCGAGATGCGGGAATATTCGACGAGAAATTATCCTAACCCTGAGCATCAAACTATCTCCACGGACTTTAAGCTGAAGCGGACGCCACGAACAAGCCGAGAACGAGACGAAGAGGTATGTATGTCCAGTGACCATGTCGTCGATACCACCGTCCTGAGCTAGTTGAAGAAATCTCTCGATGCAAATGTCCAAAGTTCCGACGCTCTTTATCAAATTTACCATAATTTGGAAGATTAGAATAGCGGACATGGGCAAATCTAAGAGTAAGATTCGCATCAAGGCGTAGGCCGTTCCGATGAAGTCTCCCCGGGACCGGGGCCCAGACGCTGGGTGCCGTACCCGAGAGGCAGCTTCGGCAGGAGCAAGTGTGAGTGGGACGCCCGACAAGCACACCTCTGCCTTGCAGCTCGATGGAGGTCTATGCCAATCTACCTACCTCTCAGGCCACCTTTGTCCCACATATACCTGGATGAGAAGACGAATGACACAATGCACGGAGAGCCCTCATCGCCCCTTTTTCCAGTCTCCCTAATACATCTGCAATATCGTATACCTAGACATGTTGTCTCAAGGATCTAGTCATCTCACACAGGTAAAGAATAAAGGTCCAAATAGCACAAAAACACATGCCCTGTGCGAAGCTTCCGGAGAACATGATGGTGGCATCCTTCAAGCGTGGAAAAAACACACTTTCAGCCTCATCTCACCTTACCCACCCACACCTCGTCCCACTGCACGACCAAAACCTTGGGGTTGCGCGCGTGATGGCGTGGCATGTCGTGGGTACACACTCCCAAGCCACAGCGCTTAGTAGACCTTCAGCTTTTGCTCGAAATATCTACCCGACGACATCGGTGGCAGCAAAGAAGGTGATTAAATTCGACACTGTGCGGTGTGTAAGGTAGCAAACCTACCATCCCCGACGGAATGGGTGTTATTCCGAAATGCAACACCACGAGGGCGATAGAACCTGCCGGTCGGATATTCTGACGAGGACCCTGTTATATTGTGGTTCACGATGGGCCGAGAATCTTTGGATTCCACCGGTGCCCCTTATGACCACCCAGTCATTGGCTCCCTCATCGCCTGCGGTGATAGGTGAAGAATGCCGGTAAGGTGGCCTTCGAGATCAGTTGGGCTTTCGTCACACCCGCTTGACCTCCTAGCTCTTCTTAAACCTCATTAAACCCCCCGCGCATGTCCGACGACGCGCCACCTCCCGAGGTTGCCTAAAGTTAATATACCTACCTGAAATAGGATATGAGCCGGTCCGAGCTCGTCTTGAGTCCTAGGGCTGGGAAGAAAGTCATCTCCCTTCCTGGGAGCCCTCTCGATCCACCAACCGCATCGTCTGGTCTGGAAGTGTAATCCATACCTGTCCATGCTTACCCATACCTAGCCGTATATGTCTTGACCGAGCAACTCAGTCTCCCCGGCTACTACCCACATTGAGAAGACTCACAAATACACCCACAAGAGAACGAGAACGAGGTCAGAAAAAGAGGAAATTTGGCCGTCATTTCTCCTATAGAGATACATACATGTACACATTTCCGTCCCGACGCCCATCCATCACTTCCACACTTCAGCCTTCAATCTGCCGTTGTGCCAGTCCACCCAAGAGATGATGCTTTCAGACAGTTTGACAAGTCAAAATAATACATGCTATGAATTTCCCCTTTGAAAGTCTTTTTCTCCCTGTAGAGACTTTCTTGTTGATGAGCCAGACCCAAACACCGTTTGTTAGTTAACCTGACCCGAAACTCCAAATATTTTCCAGCACTTCATTCTTCTTTTTTTTCTTTCATTTTTCTTGCTTCTTCTGTTTTCCATCTTTGTTTCGAATAGACCGTCAGAGAAGTTCTGTCATGCCTTCTTTTCTCTGATGCCTATCGGCCCGCCCGCTTCAACAATGATTTGCTCGTCGATCCGTTTACTGGTGTCGCCCCACTCGACACGCTTCCACGTCGTGATCCGAGCTTCGTTGGTATCGACCTCGAATACACGTATGCGGCGGTGGTATCCTCCGTACCCGGCATAGCCGCCAAAGCCGACTCCGCCGGCGTAGCACATCCAGAGGGCTGGCTTCTGCTGGCTGTCTAGCGAGAGGGAGCAGTAGTCGTTGACATGGTCACTGTACCAGGTTAGGTTGTGGTTTTCTTTCAAGGGCTGAGGATGGAACTTACTGTCCACAGCTGACCATCACGACGCCCTGCTCGACGAGGGCGTCACGGAAGCCGGAGTTGAAGTTGGGTGCTGTAACACCCTCTTTCCATTCGCCTTTGATGGCGAGATCGGCATCCCTGTACTCGGGCAAAGGAATGTGAATAAAGGCCAGGTCCATGTGAACCTTGCTGTACTCCTTGTGTGCCTTCTTCAGATTGGTAGAAGTCTTCTTGAACCACTCAATCTGGTTCTGCTTGATCCAGTCGTACCCATGGTACTTCTTCTCATCGGGAGAATATGCATGGGAATCGAGCATGTAGAGGGTGAGTGCTGAATGGTCCGACTTGCCTCTAGCAAGGACCTCAACATAGTAGTTGCCAACACCATCGATTTCTTCGGGTCCGGCCTTTGCCAGAGAATATGGGAGCGATTCGAGAATTTGCATCTGAGCAGCGCGAGGAAGCGATCCCTCATCATCGTGGTTTCCAAAAATTGAAACGTAAGGGATCTTCATCTTGATGAGGATTTGAGCGATTTTGAAGATTGCCTAGTAAAGTCAGTTTGCGCCCAGTCAGACAGAGAAAACGCCACTCACCGACTGCGCATCAGGAGCAGTTTCGCCATTGACTTGATCCCCACTAAGCACGACCAAATGGGGCTTCTCCTCGGTGAGGATCTTCTGGACGAAATCCAGCGTTCTGGGATCCGCCTCGCACAAGCCGCCATTGTAGCCCTCGGGCATGGCATCGCGACACTTGCCGACGCCGGTACTGAGGTGGAGATCGGCCAGTTGCATGATTTTGAACCTGCCGTTCTCGGGAATTCGCGGCTGTGGTTTGTGAGGCTCCTTCTGGCTTCCTCTCCGGAGAGTGATGTGGGTGACGGGGATTTCTTCGTTGAGCGGGAGCAGCAAGGGCGTTCCGGTGATCTGCCAGCCATCGCGAGCCTCAACCGCGTCGTCGCCAAACAGGACATCGATGCCTGTAACGGCCTTCTTGGAGTCGCTGTCTTTCTGGTTGGAAGACCGCTTCACCCACAATCCGTATGGTCGGCTCTCCCACCTCTCGTCCTCCTCTCCCTTCTTAGAAGTCGTGGGGTCGAGTCGGCCGACGGAAACGTCCATGACTACCTTATCCTCTGGTAGCAGCTCCTCCTCCTTCTTCCGTGCGACGTGTACGTATGCGCTGGTGGTCCATGACTTGCCCAGGTACAGGTCCTTTTCGATTCGGTGCCATTTGTTGGTGTCGAGGTTGCAGGATGTGAAGACGTTTATGCTCGAGCATTTCGTTACTGTGATATCCGTGACAATCAGGCCGTGGTGATGCTGCGGCATGTAGTGGTGCATCGACTTTGGTAAAACTCGGAAGTTTCGGTCGAGGAAGAAGACGGCGAGGAACGTCACAAGCGTCACCGCGGTGAGCTGGATTATCGTCCGTACCTGAGCAAAGGCATCGTTAGTATGGTCTCTTTCTTGTCGTCAAGCGTAGCAGCAGTACTCACTATACGGCGCGTCATGTTGGGCGACTTTTGCGATTGTCGCAAATCGGAGGGAGGCCGGTCGTGGCGATGTGAAGGCCGGCGTCGTCGTGATCAATCGAAGGTAGCAGCGCAGCGCAGCGCGTGGGCTGAGGGAACACGAACACGAAGTAATCGGCTCGAGCGAGCCTGAGTTCAAGCTAATACCCAGGCCATATCATGGCCCGTAGGTCGGCTAAGGTGGAACCAAGATTGAGAGAGGTACGAACAGACACGGTGGGCGCGAAAGAGCTTGGTGTCGGTTCGTAAGTCGAAAGACAGCTCAGCAGACGACAGGGGTTTTGAGAAAAGGAGCAAGAAAAGGCACGAGGCAATCAACCGAGACTCGGTCGATAAAGGCCCCATTTAGGTGGAGCCAACTGCCACCTCAGAATCCGGGGTAGCAGTGCACTTTTTGGCATTTGGCTATCTGCTAAATTGCTGAGGGCGCCCTGTGATTGCGCCCAGTTACCACCTCCCTCACCCAGTCTGACAGTTACCACTGATCAATCATCGCTGCCCATCAATAGGCTTACCGGGGTACGTACTTACGATTAGGTTATCAAAGTTTCATTGGCTTTCCCCCTGACAAGGCCAGGCCTCCCCCGAAACCGCTTTTCAACTTCACCAACGCTCCAATCGGTTAGGCGAAGACTTCGTGAGGGACGCGGCGACGCCATCGACCAGGAGTAGGATGGAAGAGCTGTAAGCAGCTGCACGTGGCGCCGACCATCATTGACGCGTCCATGTCTATCAGACTGTCACACTGCGAGACATTGTCTACCATCTGCCAGTGCCATGTACATTGCATGAAGCTGCGCGTCACATCACACGGGCCGTGGTGCGACGCAACAGCAGCATGTAATTCTGGCGAGCGTCGTCCACTTTGACTACTGAGCAGCAACAGCTTTCTTCCATGTAAACGTCATGTCGGTGGAGCCTCCCGTCCTGTTCCATCTCTGTCACCACCCCAAGTACGTAAGCTCGAGACGGCATGGTCTGAAGACAAGAGACGGACACCCGTAGCATGCAGATCTGCCAGAGTATCTTACTTATCCCACTTTATATCGCCACACTCAATACATGATGGCCGCGCGTCAGAAAGGTCGAATTGAGTTTGTTACGCAGCCATCCTCCTGGTTTCTCTCGTCGTCGAGGACGGACGAGACGAAATAATAATCATCAAGCCTTGCTATCTCGGGATGACAGAAGCATTGACGAAGCAGCCCATAGAGTCGAAGACCAGTTGGGCTCTTCTCGGTCGTCAACGACGTGAAGCTTGAGTCAGTCACGACGAAAAGCGATGCTCAAACGACGCAAGACAACGCTATTGATAGGGAAACCTCCATCACCATCGTATTCTCATTTTCTTCCCTTTCATATTTGGCACTCTATCAGCTGCAGTCGCATGAGTCCGGTATGGTGGCAAGAGCTGAGTTGCCGCGGATGTGCTACTCAGTACCTCACATGGGATGCCAAGCCCACCCTGTATATAAGTCTCTCGCCTCATACAAATCTCACTTTTTGGGTGGTACGTTGTGGCTGCTCATCTCATCGATTTCTGGAACGCAAAATCCATGGCAATTCTTCAAGAGACAAAGAGTCGACCCATTCCCTTTGTCGTGGTACTGAAAGCATGCATCTTCAGATTTGCAGCAAAATGTCACTTCACTCCCTGACAAAGCCAAGTACATGGGAAGAATAAATAGGTTCGATGAGACAAGAAGAGAGAAGAAGCGCCGTCAAACGTCTCTTTGTCTCTGTCTTTCTGCCGACATTGCAGCCTATTTTTGGAAACTTGAATCTGCCTCATCTCCAAACTCTCAGATCCGACGATGCATTCTTCAACTCAATTTCAGACGCCTCGCATATCGCTAGCAACAACAACGGACACTCATTCCTGGGGGGAGGGACAACTTCAACATGGACCAATGCAGGAACAGTGGCCCGTGCCCCCGTCCTCGCTTAATGGGAATGGAAGGCACCGCGGCGACACCTTCCCCTACACAGTAAGTACCTAGCTGCACGAGCTTGGTAGTCGAGTACGTACCTCTACCAGCAACCAGCAGATGCGCCGCAGCTTAAGCAACTGGGAAGGTCCCCTTTCTTGCCAAACCTGGGAGGTACCTGCCTACCTTTGCCTCGCCTTACCTTCCCAAAGCTGTCGTCCTGTGAACCAAAGTAGCAACGACGCGCCTCAAAAATCGTCATAACCCCCGGCGATCCATCAACGACCGCCCCTTCTCTCCGCCTTCCAAGTTCCACCCCAATTCCATCATCAATTTCTTCTTCGCCAAAGTTGCGCAAATCTGTTCAACATCGTCGCAGCCGCATCATAGTCTCGGCATCGTATCTACTAAACCTCTCCCATCTCGACTTCCCACGTAACTGTCGCAAAGATGGCTACCGACTACAGCTCGTTGAAGGTTCCCGAGCTCAAGAAGCTTCTCCAGGAGAGAAGCCTTCCCGCAACAGGCAACAAGCTCGACCTGGTCAATCGCCTCAAGGAAAACGATGCGCAATCCGCACCCGGTACGTCAATCGATTCCGAACACGCGCTTTCTTCGATCGCGACCTAACAATACCCAGCCGCCGCCGAGGAGGATGAAATCGATTATAGTGACGACGAGCCTACCGTGCCCACCAAGGCCGCCGAAGCCCCCAAGCCCGCCGCTGAAGCTGCCCCGGCTACTGAGGAACCTAAGCCTGCCGCTGCTCCTGCTGTAGCTGAGCCTGCCGCCCCCGCCACTGAAGCCGCGACTGCGCCTGCTGCGGAGACGACCGCGGAAGAGGAGAAGAAGACAGAGGAGACTGCAGAGGCTGCCGACGCCGCGCCAAAGGAGGACTTTGCTCTCAACCTGGATGCGACCGACGCCGCAGCGGAAGCCAAGAAGCGCGCCGACCGCGCCAAGCGATTCGGCATCGACGAGGATGAGGAGGCCAAGAAGAAGGCTGACCGCGCGAAGAAGTTTGGCGTCGAGGTTGGCAGTGTCGCCGGTCTCGACTCTGCGCTTCCCGAGAGACGTCCCAAGCGCGGCCGTCCTGAGCGTTCCGACGAGCAGGCCGGACGCGATGCTAAGCGACAGAGCACCGACGGCCGTGGACCCCGCGGTCGCGGCGGCAGGAACAACAGAGATGGCGGACGCCCTGGAGGCCGCCGCCAAGGTGGTGGTGGTCGCGAGGGCGGCGGCGAACGCGACACCAGGCGCAGCGCTGCCATCGACCCTGCCGAGAAGGCGAGACAGGAAGCGAGAGCGAAGCGCTTTGCCAACTAGGTGTATTGAGGTAGTACGCGTTCGATTGGAGAGAGCCCTGGAAGATGGGGTCTGTATACTATGCCCGGGAAGAGGTGGCTGGCGTTTCGGTCTACGACAGATGTATGGGAGACGCGAACCAGGCATGCGGTTAAAATAACGCACGTCTTTGGTCTAGGGAAGGGCGGAGACGATTCAAAACGAGATGGCACCGACAGCACGAGTCTTCTCAAAACAAGATATTTTTGACAGTAATGGAATAGAACTAAAAGTCTTTTTTGGTATTCCCCGGTTCTAGTCTCTGGACAGTTTCCTCCTAGACGTTGACTAAGTAGGCAACGCACTGCCTGTTGGCACTGATATCTTGAAGACCTCGCAATGGTTTGCGATTCTCACCCTACCTAGGCTCAACTACGGAGCATGCGTAGGCCACGACGAACGCGTTGTAGACCTGAATGATAGTTGACAAGGCTGAAAATGAGGTGCCAAAACAAGGCATCTGAAGCGGCCGGCTGGTTCGTCTACTACGCACAGATCCAATTGCGAGAAGGAAACCTTTCAGCAGTCTCTATCAACGGCTACGATCGCCCGGTGCTTGTGGTGTTCTCACTCTTGGTTGCTCCAGCAGTACTACCATCATCGCCATCCACATTGGATTTTCACTCAAGGTGGGAAGTTACTGAATGACTGAGAGATTGCGATCCCGTAACCAGACACTTCTTTCAGCTTTTCGGCGATGAGCATTTTGGTTTCTCCACCCCGCCCTTCCCCCGGCCGAATATCGTGATCTACTTCAGACCTCATAACCAAGCATGGTATGAACAAGTCAAGGTATTGAAAAAGATCGTCATTCCGCGTTAGACATGTTAAGCTTCTCCAATGGGACTGGACGTCTGTTCAAACCCTCCCCTCTTGTTGCTATCTCCATCAAAAGCTGTGCCACAACAGTTTCACGATACCTATTTAAGCAAGGTTTAAGCCGCAACTGAGATCACCTTGCTTCATCTCTATAATTGAGCTCGATTCATTCGAGACAAATGAAACTGGTAGTTCGCGATCATCGGTAGTGAACACATCGGTGTCCTATGATATATCCTATAACGTCTGCTTAGCTGAACTCTCCATAAAGAATACCATCATCCAACTAGAATCGCTCAGCGTCCGCCGGCTCGTTAATAAGGACCAACGAATACGTGGGAGGCATCGATGGACTAAGCCCAGTGAAGGTTTATAAGTGAATATACTCTCAACTAGATCACTAGGATTTACCTTGTTATCTATCAGCTTGCTAGTACGATTAGGTAACGAATACGTGAGAAGGACCGTTGGGGAATGCTAAACGAGGAGTTAATGTAGGAACAAGGCATGGCGCTGCTACCTTTACTGAACGTACATGATGAGAAGCTCGTGAGCACTTTGTCCTTAGTCGCCTTGTCTAGGTGAGCCAATGCCAAACGTCGGAAGCGAGCCCGTCATCTAGCATGATGGCCTTAAATAAATCAAAAGAGCGTTCAAGAGGGGTTGGTCGTTTAACAACCCCGGGGACACGCAAGGCATAATCAGGTGACATCGAATTCACAGATCTAAGCCCTATTCTGAAAGACAATCAGACAGTTGAAATCTTCAGCCCCATCTTCCACTTCCCCACTAAAGTAAACAAGGTACTCAGTATAAGCAGCTATGGCTTTTTCCCAACGCGATTGGGAATGCCTCTTGCCATCGATGTTTCCCCAACCAGCAAGGCGAACCCGACTTCTTCCCAACAAGGTCAATAGAAGTTGCCTAAATAAATACAAAGTTCCTTCCAGAACATGCTGTTGGAAGCTGGATCAAAACTCGCCGTTACAGTTCATCACACATGACTAGCAAGCCTCCCAGCAGACAAGCCCTGCCACGGTCCATCAGGCCATTTTGATCGAGACAGATCCAAGGTCTACACAAACGCCCCAAACTATTCTAGGTGCTGCACCAGAATATTCCATTGAAGTATTTGGTCTCTTTCTCACTCCTCTCTGAGGCCTCGCAAACATGCCCGTCACCCTCTCATAGGCAGCAACCTCTACCCAGCGAAACGAAGCGGACCTCAACTAACGCCGAGACAAGACATGATGGTCCACAGCTGCCAGAAGTAAGCCACCGAAGACTTGTAGGTCGTTTCAAGGCAACAGGTTAATATCCCAGGAGCAATCTTGAGACCCACGGTTAACGCCAAGGGGTTTGGCGCAGGGCAAATTATATCGCTGCCTCGATAGTCTGGCATGCCGTGATACCAGACCCTCAAGGCTTCAGGGGGGGAGATTCAGTCGCTACCCCGATTCTATTCTAGAACTATGCTTTACCTACACGCCTTCTTCCACATAAGCGGCTCCCAGCCAAGAAGCTAGGAACGAACCCTCGTTAATAGAGACGAGGCGGCGAGAACGGTACTCTGAGAGAAGTCTCAGGGGCCACAGAATACCAAAGTTCCAAAATTCTTTACTCGAAAACGTTGGCAACGCACCCACAGACACGCCAGCCGAGTCTAAAAGGCTGCCTGCTATCCATAGCCGATCCTCATCGTCAAGGGACATACCAGCCGCCACTCAAACCTATTAAACGCCAACCGCGTGATACCCGCACACGCGCGTGAGCGGGAGAAGTCAGGCGAGAGGGGTGGGATGGTGAGACATAGACGATGATGGCGTTAAGACACACCCGTAACTGTACGAGAAGAACAAGCTCAAACGCCACGGAAGCAAAGGTCCCCTCCACGGAGCCTCCTCCGCGGATTGGGGAAGATAGCAAAAGAGGGGTTGGGCCGCATCGCGGGCCTCACAGCCGGACGATTTGATGTTGCCTGGATCCCTCAAGCCACTTGGATTCTGAGGTATGAAGTCAAGCCTGAAGGAAACGGTGCGAAGGAACCATGATCGAGCCAAGTCGACAAATGGACTACGTCCATCTCTAGGCGGGAATCTCTATACCACCGATCTCCCGGGATTGACAACATCCACCTCCACTCGGTGAACACTCCCTCACCGTTGGCTCTATCCCGACGGACACCGGGACAATACACAAGCACGAGATATGCCGTTGATATTGAGGCTGGACAGAAAGAACAAACACAGACCGAAACACGACTCTCCGCAAAGTTTCCGCGAGCGTGCTAAACCTGGAATATCCAGGTTCATCGGTGAACTCTCCTCCTAACTCCACGGTATTAGTCCGTCGCAAAGTCCGCGATACCCGGCATTCGTAGATTACCCAACAATGGGAACATCCGTGGGCCCAGCCCCTCGGTAGAGCAAGGAGACGATACCTAGGCGGCCGTTTAACGTCGAGTCTTGGCTGTCAATCATTGCTTTGCCGCGGACTTGCTTGTCTAAATCCCACATCCTGCAGTCAGACACAAGGGCGCTTGGCCGTTTCTCGAAAAAAGGCACGTCTTGTTGCCTGATCACCAACCAACCTCCTTCCGTACATGTACCTAGCCCTACGAAACACCACCACCACCACCACCGCAACCACTCAAAGATGCTGTGCACTGGTGGGGGAGCCTAAACGCAGCATCCGAAAAGGGGCAAATATGCGACGCGTGGGGCCATGGAGAGAAGAAACAAGCTCAAGCCGGAGAGAAAAAATACCAAAGTCCCTTTTTCCTCGTTGCATGCGCGCGGGGGGGGGGGGGGGGGGGGGGGGGGGGACAAAAGCGGGGAGAAAAGAGGGAAAGGGGGGGGGGGGGGGGGAAGAGAAAAAAAAAACCCAGGACGAAAAAAAAAAAAAAACCCCCTTCTCCTTTTTTCTGGGGGGGGGGGGGGGGGGGGGGGGGGGGGGGGAGACGTGGAGGGAAACGGCGTCATTCCCGCAGAAAAAGCTGCACAAGCTACAGAAAAGAACACAAAAAAGGAACCCGCAGAAGCCTAAGCCTCCAAACATACCCGCCGCAGGTTAGGCAGGTGCATAAGTAAAGTTGTTCTTGGCCTTTGCTGATCAGAATGATGGCCGTGGAACGATACATTGCCCCTCGTTGACGTCTGAATAGCCTCATGGCCCCTAGCTAGACGGCTCAAAGTCCTTCCCATCAACCTTAGTTCGGTGGCTCAGTCCCACACACTCCTAGACCTCAGTACTAATTCAGTAAACAATCTGAAGAAAAGGACCCATAGCCAATGTAGGGTATCTCTTCCTCTCCCCGTGTCCGTGTCCGTGGGTAATGGGGATGAACCCCCCTCACCCTTCCTCCCGAGCCGAGTTAATCTGGCAGCCTGGTTAATAGTACGCAAGAGAGAGACAGAGAGTGAGTGTGGGCTCTGGCAACGCTTTCTGCACCCGTCGTCTAGACGAGATCCCAGTAGTCCACGATTGAAAGGACCCGGGCAATGTCGCGCCCCATGTAACACTACTACCCGTACCCCATCTCCCGAGGAGACGTCGCCGTGAACCCGGCCGCATGGACTGACGAACGAACGTCACCCTTCTTCCCGCTGGCGGCCCCGCCTGGAGCGGGGCATTCGGACTCCCTTCGGACTCGATGAGTGCGTGGTTGAATAGGTAGATCATATAGGGGAGGGGAAGGGGGGATACGTGGGAGGGTCTCGCTGCAGCCCTGGGAGATTCTCCTCGACGAGAGCGGTAAAGTCGATACGACGAGACAAGGGGGATTCCTGGCCTCGTGTACACTATATTCGGATCGCTTTCTCTTCAAGGGCGTGCATGCTTGGGTACATTCTTCACATGTATTCTTACATACAGGCCCGCTGTTGATCGATAGCAGCCGGTATCCCGGGGTGTGTTGGATGGTCCATCGATCTGACCAAAGACGAACAACTGCGACCTGACTTGCATAGGATAGAGGTAGGGGTTAAACACCACGAAATACGTCAATCTTCTTCTATGCCGTACCTTCGCGTTGCCTTGCTGTGATGACAGAGTCGGGTCATCTTGTCGTCGAGTCCGTTCGGCCCCGAGAAACCCGCCCTCAGTCCAGCTTAGTTAGTTAGTACTGTACGATAGGGCCATATCGAATCCTACAATTGTCCCCTCGATCTGACCGACTGCATTGGCGAACAGCCGCGCAAGCAAGAAAGGGTTAGAGCCATACGAAAACTGCGTTGGTCCCACGGCACTTTTCATCACCCTCATTCGCCAGCCCGAATGCAGTTCAAGACGCTTCCCTTTGGAAGGAACCGAATCCTCGCGCTGCTGGGAAATCTAGAGAAACGTTACCAAGAGGTAGGAAAACCAAAGTCCCACGTGCTTCAAGGTCTCGATTAGGAATAGGGGGAGGTTAGATAACAATCTTGACGCAAAGAATCCTACGCAGTGGTATGTCCCACTCCCCTTTACCTCTCCGTCGTCCTAGGATAGGTTCCCGGGATACCGGACCACGCAAGGAATTGAAGTGGTGCGGGATAACGAATAGCACACACACACACGCACACCCACTGCAGAGCAACAGGGCTGGCCTCAGTCTAGCCAGGTACACACGTCAACCAGGGCTGAGTATTTGTCAAACTCTACAGCGTTGGCATGAGGCACGAGGCACACCCACTACTTCGTAACGACCTAGTCTCTTTCCCTCTCTCTCGAATCCCTTACCATAAAAGTTACTCTGTCGAATGCTTGTGTCCCGTAGTCCTAGTCTCCATAAGCCCACGGTTCGTGGCGCGCCCCTGCCCTACGCGCCCGCCCGCCCGCCGGGCTCCCACGATGACGGTAGACTAGGGTTCTTGAGTGCCGGGGGGAAGAGGGGGGGAAGAGGTGTTCAATGATCTGTGGTTTGTTGGAGATGACGCTAAGCCTGGTGACCAATTCAGGGACCCAAAGTGATGCTCGAGGGAGGCGGACGCCGCGCCCGCCCGCGCATGTGCCCCATGGGCCATGGCAGAGAGAGAAAACGTAGGTGTAAGTCACTTGGTGTGGCTTCGCCGCGTTACCGCATCTCCAGCACCGCCGCTTAGCCGCCTCCCGTGATTACGTATCCGTATCTGCCGCTGCCGGTTGAGTAATAGTAAGCACGTTGTCGGGTTAGATGGATACGAAATCAAAGTGATTGGCCAACCAGAGAAGCAGCCTCGGGATGAGCAGGTTGTGGATTCCTCTCTCCCTCAAAGGCAAGTACTCTTTGCAAAAAACCAGGTGCTGCTTGTGACTTGTGTCCGGACGATGTCTCTGTCCGGCCGGACAACTCCGGAACACCCCCGGGCTACCGGGCGGCCGCCCGCCGAATGACGCTCCCTGGCTCAGTAGCTTGGCCTGATACTAGTGCCCCCGACAACTTTCCAAACTTGCGGTCGGGAGTCTCCCTGGAAAGTATCTGCTTGTCATCTCGGCTCGCTTCTCTTAGCAAGGAAGTCTGAAGAAAATCAAAGTTGCGACAAGTGGTTGATCTGGCGTCGCTTATCCGATTCTCCTCAAGATCCACCCGGCGGCCGACTCTGCGCTATTCCGTTCGCGGATGGTCATTCGAGGTCAAGCGATCACACTCAACTCGTGGGGTTCAGGGTCATGGCCCATAGGCGTTGTGGAACCCCATGTTCGCTTCGCATCTTTCGACGGGGGGCTTTATTGCGCCTAAAGGGAGGAAAACTCTGCGAACCGCTAACTGACCCTGTTGCTTTAAGGTCGGTGCTAGGCGAGGGGTTCATACTGTTGACTTGTTGTAAACCTGTGTTTGCAAGCTGCATCTGTTTCCAGGTTCTAGACATGAAGTTGTTAGAAGCCAAGGACGGCGTAGCAAGGGTACCCGTATTCGGAGGCAAAAAGAGGGGCTGGTTGACCAGCACGTTAGGCTTCAGCTCGCTCAACTTGCTGTGACACAGTGACTGTGATCATTAGAGCCGACATAGTTCGGAGTCAAGGGTTGAAGATGACACCTCAAAAGTACTCCGATGCTCGACTCACCGAGCTACTTTGGCATTCACCGAGAGCACTGGCAGCCTGAAGGCACACGGGACCTGGCCTTTAGCGCCGTGACCGCTCGAATGCCGCGGTGCATGCCCCTCCATCCCACCCATGTTCTTGGGCGGCCGCTGCCTGCCGCTCTCAACGCGGAAGCTATGACACAGTCCACTCGTTGCGAAGAGGGTGAGAGACAACACGACTACTTGTCTGTCTTTGTGAATAACATGAATGACGTGCAGTGTAGGTTCGTAGATAGCAATGAGGTATTAAATCGATATGAGACATGTTGACAGAAAGCCTGAAATAAATCAAATCCAATAAATGCGTTGTCCGACTAGAAACCCCATGCCTAAACCCAAACGTCTTCCGACGTCATGTTACGCCGTCATTAATGGAAATCTCACTAGCCCCACATACAGCCCGAAGGGCCCTCCGAATCAACTCAGAGCTGGCATCGACATCGAATTGCGAAAGAGATACGCTGTGGTGAAATCGAGCGCCCTCATGATCAACAGCAATTGATCGTTTATGGTCACGCCGTGACTTCTTCAACTATGACTCGGTCCATCAGCACCCGCCGGTTGGTTGTCCGCCGTGGAAACGTACTGTTGACTAGAGCCCTTGCTTTCCTTCTTCTTGCCGCTGCTCTTCTTCGACGAGTTTTTGCTCTGTCCTCTGGTCTCTATCCGAGGAAGTAAGCCGTCGAAGATGGCATACTGGTCGTAGCCTTTGCCTTTGTCATCGGGTGAGGTGCCCTTCGAGCTGCCGCCGCCGTGGGAGTCCATCGTGTTGTTCGATGTCCTCAAAGCCGCAATCTAATCAGCCCCTCTGTGTTAGTCAACACCTCCAGTCAAAACTTGAGCTTAGACGTACTGTAGTTTCTTGGAGCTTGCGTAGAAGCTCGCTTGTGTCTTGATCTGTATACGATGCTTGAGTGGGCGATGCTTGGTGAGTTGAGGAGTAACTCAATGCGCTTCGAGAGGCTTGCTGGTCTTGCTGGCTCATTCTGAAGGCGGTCTTGCACGAGGTTTATATCTTTGAGAATGGATAGGTAGAGGGAGAAGTTCTTCCCACCGCCGGTCGTGAAAGACAAAGCCAGGTAAAAGGCGGAGGGACTTTGGAAAGTTGAAGAACCAGCCCTGCGCGGCAAAGCTTCAAAGAGGTGTACAAGAAAACGACACACTGGAGCTTTCATAGTATCTCTAATGACTTGAGAAAACTTGGCCCTAAGCTAGGCAGAGCCGTCAGTTGGTGTCGTTGTTCTTGGGTTCAGCCCACACCCCCCGGTCAACTCAAGGCAGGCAACGGGGACGTGCCGGGCACAGCAGGAAGACTGCCTGACGGGACCCGTTTCTCAACCAGTCCTATGCCACTTCCCAGGAAGGACTTTTGCAGTTACTGACACTTTCGTTTGGAAAACAAAACCATTCTTGGCCGGATACGTGTGGCGAAGTTGCGAAGAAGACGGAGGATGAAATTTTCTGGATGTGCCCGTTGTTCAGCAAGCCGTCAACATTGGAGTTGTTGCAACTGAACCAAAGTCCCATCGCGCCAGATCATGTGCCTTGCGGTAACCGGGGGAGTCACCAGTAAGCATAGCTGCCGGGATATGCTTGCTGACAACTGTGATTCGCTCAATTGCGAATGAAATGCGAAAGTTGAGCCTTGAGGTTCTGAATGGCCTCAATGCGACATCGTGTAGGCCATATGCCCGAGGACTCGATAGGTCCAAGATCGATAGCTCTGCAGCGTGGAATTGAGTGTATTCAGCATCACACTTCGATCCGGGCATTGAACCTAGGCCGAGTCAAAAGAACTTTGAGACGTCGTATCCACATGCTCTTGTCGGCTTGCACCAGCATAGGGCTGAAATTTGACTTGATCCCAAAGTCCTCTCACGAATCCAGATCATCTACGAAGGATCGGCTTGGGTTCTCCGTGGACCTACGGCATTAGTTCAGATCTTTCGTGAAAATGATCGGTACCGAATGCAATTCGATCTATTCGCAAGCAGTGTGGCAGCCATTTGAGGACGGAGTCAGTCATGCGCCATACTCGTCACCTCGAGGCTTTACCTCTCACCGAATGACGACAAGAGTTGCCATCACTGCAGCCTCGATGTTTTCTTTTCAGATTCTTGTTGATTGTACATTGCTCGTATGATCGGCAGTCGAGCCATTTCGTCGGATACGACTGAGGCCTTTAGCGACTTGACCTGTGACTGTGACATGACTTTGATTCGGGGCCGGAATTGCATGTCACTGCAATCAAGGAGCGTTAGATCTGGATACTCGTCGATCAGATACCGAGCGCCACCAGGAGCGGCCGCCCGTACCCCACCAGGCCAAATAACAGAGGATTGGCTTGTTAGCCGCGGGTCAAGGTTAGGCTCATCTCGGAGCGTGTGTTACGGAGATGTGAGACTCCAGGCAGCCTCAAATGGTGTTTGCTCAAGCAGTTGCACGCGCTCGATAGGATTCTGTAGCCTGAAAGTACATTCCGTCAAACCCGCCATTTGGTGGATTGACCTCCATTCGAGCAATGGGGGGAGACGTGTGCAGGCAGCAGCTGGGCCTCCCGGCCGTGGAAATGTGGTTGCGGGCCGTCCGATGTCGTCGATTCTGCTTCCCGCGTCGGTGCTGGGCATGATCTCGGATGGCATGATCTCTTCATTGCTTGTTACGTAGTAGACACCCTTCTGCCCACGAACCAGGGCGATGGATTCTTGTCACCCCTTCTTGGTGGTCTATGCGACGTGTTGAATAGCGGGATCCACAGAAAGTTGCTGGGGTGCGATGTTGGCTCCGTATAAGTCTAACCAGCCTGGGAGGAAATCTCGAAGGAGGCAACGGCAGCCATACTTCTCTCCCGCCACTCCCCTCGGGACGCGATTGGCCTGAGAAATTGGCTTGCTAGTGAAATGCTTGGATACACCGAGCAGTTAGCTCGCGTAACTGATGTTCGATGGGACAGGCGTTTTGTGATGTTCGGGCCGTTAATTGGACGGATTGGGGTTGCCATCCATGAATCCATGATCGTGATGTGTACCTTGCTTTGATGTCTCCTCCGCCCCCTGCTCTTTGCACAGGAGAGGGGAGACAAATCCCGTGGCCTACGGGGCCGTCAGTGAATGGGCCCCACGCTCTCCGGCCACAAGACCGCAGACAGGCCCGGGATAATCGGCGTGTTGACCCGACTGACTGGCTTGAGGGAGAGGCCGTACTCCGTAGTGTATCCGTAGAGGTCTCTCGGTCTCTGGATGGAGCAATAAAGGAGACCCGTTTTCGATGGGACCTTCATGGGGGCTCTGCGGCCGCCGCGCGACAAATACTATAGCTTTTGCTCGCATCTCTCTCCAATGGGCAATCCGTAACGTCGCCAATCAACTGGCCTACTAAGCGAATTTCCACGCCGCACCCTGGACCAGTAGACTCCCAAATTTCATGTTCCCGAAGAAGTCTAGCCTTTCGTCTCAACGCGACATACTGCGACCTCGAGCGACCTCTTCGTTCTGGCGTCCACGTCGTTGGAGTGTTCGGTTCCTGGCTCTAGCCCTGGGCCCTGGCCTGGAAGCAACGGCCATGTGCTGATGATACCCGACCCGTTCCCCACAAGCTCGGACAAAGCGGGCCATATCCCTCACTCTATTCGGAGTTTCTCTCTTCTTCATTTCATCTTGTTTCGACTCTGGATGGGAATTTGCAGTCGAGGGGCAGCGGAATTTTCCATGTCGAGGAGGAGCGACAGCGTCGAAACGGCCATTGTGGTTGATTACCAGGGCGGATCCCCACCCTGGACAGGCAGTCGAATTCGGAGCCCCCTCATCTTGTTTCGGGCCACTTTCAGGCAACCGGATACGTTGGGTGGTGCGCATAGAGATGGAGGACTGGAGGGAGGTCAGTTTGTAACTTGGTTGGCAGTGATGATCTCAGTCCTGTCCAAACTTACTCTGAACCGTCCAGATGTGGCTGCTGCAAGCTGTCAGAGAGCGACTCCACCTGATGGTGGCAGTGGCACGACCGCCAGCTCGATAGCCGTCGACTCATCGCCCGTTGTCGTCGGAATACTTCTGTCTGACATTGGGTTGCTGGCCCGCCTCATGCTAGCATCTGACCGTTGCGGATAATACTGACTGCTGATCTCCTGCTGCACCTTGCCTAAGCCCCCTGCGCCTTACCCACTTACACCTCCCCTGTAAGGCGATGGTCACCATCTTGGCCACTAAATTGCCTTCCTGGCGAAAGACTGGGAGCCGGCAGCGGTTCAGCGGGTATCTGTGGCCGTCCAATTCCGCTCGGGGAAGGTCGATAATAATTGACATCAGATGCAAGGCCTCTCGCTGCAGGGGTGTGCAGCCGCTGGGAGGGGTGACATTGAATCCAATGCCACCAGTAGGCCGGTCGTGCTGGTATGGGGGCGGGAAGACAGGGCCCTACCGGGCTTAGCGGTTCGACTGCTTACCGTTTGGGTCCCCTTTTTTCCTGCTTTCAAATAACATATCCGTGTGATTCCCCGCGTTCTTCTGATGAATTGTCTCATTACGGTGAGAGTGAAGGTTCGCCGATATAAATCCATCGTGCATGGTCCGCCATTGACATCAAACATTCGTTGTGTTTGTCAAGTCGAGATCCCAACAAAGCCAACGCCATGAGAGATTCCAGCCTAGCCGTGCCGCCGAAGCGGAAAACATCGACTGACTCCGAAGCTGACGAAATGACAAGCTCTGGGCAGTCAGCAAAGCCGCGTAAGCGCGTGCCCGCCGAGATCTGGGAGACGAAGCGACCGATCATTACCCGCCTGTACCAAGAAGAGAAGAAGTCGTTGAAGGAGGTCATGGAGATTATGCAGCGCGACTACCATTTTGCCGCCACGTAAGCCCGCCTTCCCGTATGTTGAGCGTATCAGTTACTGAAGAATAGCAGCGTCAAAATGTACAAGTCGAGAATATGGAAATGGGGTCTCGACAAGAAACTCAAAGGTGATGAGGTTCTGGCAATCATGCTTCTCAAGCGGGACAGAGACCTCCTGAAAAGACCGACTGAGTTCAGAATCCGCGGGCAGCCAGTAGATTTGGACAACATCAACCGGTATTTGAAACGCAACCCTTCGTTGATGGCCAAATTCAGGGCGGGACAGACGCCCAGCGTGCAAACGGCACTCGAGGTGACTTGCAGAACACCTTCGCCGCCTCCGAGCCCAGCGATAGCCTTGGCACCAACGATGGAGATGCAGAGTACCGAGCAGGTTCTCTGCTTGTTCCGAGATTACATCGATGGCTCCTTTTCGTCTGGAGCCTGGTGGTGCGATTTCGACGTCGACTGCTCCAATACCCGTTTCAACCCCGGAGACCGCAGTAATGACTTATTCGAGAGAGTCATAGCCAGCTTTGCTTTGGTTAATCGATGCATGATACGAGGAGACCAGATCAACATCAACAGTGTCCTTGGTCCGGCCTTCGAGTCCCTGAAAGAAATTGTAGCTGCCGAAAGTCCAGACTTTGTTGCGCGTACGGTCTGCCTGCTTTGGTATCTGGAGCGCCATCACAAACATGATCTCCTTCGACTGGTTCTCGATTATTTGGCCGGGCTTATTCCGATTGTGCTTGGGCCTCATCATATCCTCGCCCATATCTGGCGTAGACTGGGCGCGACCGATTTCTCCGACTACTATGAGCTCTCTATGCGGTTGTATGCTCTACTGCTGCCAGACATCGAGCAGCGGGTGGGCTCGGCCAACTACTTGACGCACCTGCTGTACAGCGACTATCTCGATTGTATTTTTGCTCGACAAGATCCGGAGGATTGTGAGGCAATGCTCAGCCGCCACCGGGCTCGGGCTGAGGCCTCGGGACAAGATCACTCTTGGCTTGGCGATATGGCTCTGTCGCATGCTGGCCTACTCGCAGCCTGCAAGGAAAAACAGGGCCGACTGGACGAGGCCGTCGAGGTGCTGACGGCTCATATGAATGCATACAGTATGACAGACGAGCAGGAAGCCGCCGTTAATCTCGAGCTGGGGGTGAAGTACTATCGGATGGGCAGCACCTCGGCGGCGATCACGTCATTCAAGTCGGCGGCTCGCATCGCCCTAACGTCGGATGCAGACGAAAGGATTTCCATGACAGCGTTAGCCAACTTGGAGAAGCTGCTCCAAGAGACAGACAACACAGCCAAGGCAGATCGAGTACACCGATACCGTATGGATCGTCTAGCAGCTTTCGCAGAGAAGTCGGCATCGATATCGAAAGGCTTCACTGACGAGTACGACGACGACAGCGATGGGACGAACGACCTTGAGGACCTGCCAGAATGGCTGTGGAAGTGTGACGACGGCGAAGGGGCAACACCAAGCTGGCTCGAGCTACCTACTTTCGGTTGGGTCGACAAGACATCCCCTTCATCGTTTGTCGGTATTCCTGCGAGCGCACTGGAATGGACAAACACGTCTCAGTCAGGATCTCCTGCAGTCCTGTCGACAGAGTACTCACCACATGCAGTGGATCATCTGATCGATCCCGAGGTCGAATATCTGTACAGACACGACAACGGCATTCGGCAGACTTGACGACCTTGTTTTATTGCACGAACCAAACACGATGGTCATTGGCCAAGCAGACATCTGCTAGGATCAACGACAGGTGATACGCCGCTCAAGGAAGCTGGTCATCGCTGTGGCCTTTTGCGAGCTCAGGCTACCAGAATGCCGCCACTGAATGACTGGCGATTTGCTCAAGTTTATTGGACCGTGGCTCTGCGGTAGCTGGTGATACGGATTGGCGCCGTCAAGTCTCTCCTCAGGGCGGCTCTGGATCTCGAACAAAGCTGAACCTGAAGTATATGGCAGATGAGCAGGATCGACTGGCCAGGCGAGGTTTCTCCGGACAATGAAGTAAGCCTTTGTAGGTCGAAATTACGGAATTCTGGGTAAAGAGAGACGTAACGCATCGATACCTTCTGGAAAACATTAGCTCGTCATTGTCGCTACCAGAATGGGGTTCTGTCACCGTCCTCGATGAAGATGAGAAGCGACAGAGGTCAATGAGGAGAGGCAATACATGAAATGGAAGAGAGAAAGAACCGACCAGCTTGCATAATAAAGTACTTTGGTTTGAGTACTTGGTGCTTGGACCGTGAGGTTCGATGGAAGGGATCCGGCGGGAAGGAAGTTCAACAGATCAACGGGGAAAGAGTCGGCCACTCTCTACTTACACCGGCACGAGAAGGAGGCATCTCAAGCTGAGGAGGGAAATGAGGAAGGGGACGGGAAGGGGACGGGAAGGAGGCGAGGTGGTTTATTTGGGCAGGCCTTGATCACAAGCAGAAGAGGCGTGACAAGAACCAGGATGCTGTTGAGAACTCGACGTGTTGTGGCGAAGAGAAACGAAGTCGGAAGATACCAAATAGAGGAGCAAGACGCGTTTACACCCAGGCAATGATATGAAGGAAAATACACGATGCCTAATCTCCACCCAAGAGACAAGCAAATCATTGACCTTTCGTTCACTTTGTCTTGCTGTTCTCAATACGCTGTTACTTCCTAGTGTATGTCTGCCTGTCCTCCCACCCCCCTCTTACCGCAGGTTGCAAGAGTTGGATTTGAGAATACCTACCTGAAATGAGGTGGCGATAGATGGCAGCCTACCTGCCTCAGATACTTTCTTGCCCTCCCTTCTTCTAGGTACCGAGCTACCCTTTCCCAATTACCTGCCGATGGGGAGAATCGAGAAGAACACCACAGAACATTCCATTGGGCCGGTACCTGGCTGAGGTATCTACCTGACCTAAAGTATCAGTGACAAATGCGGTGTGTATGAGGAAGGAAAGCAGGAGACATGACGAGGAAGGAGGGACAGAAGCAGCGGCAAGATAGGTAAGCAGGCAGGCAGGCACCTTCTCGGTCACCGCAGATGCGGTCCTTCCTTTGTCAGACTCACAAGGCAGAGAGGAAGTAGCAACAGCAGCAGCTCGCTGCCTTGGACTGCAGTCACCCTCAATCTTGACTATTACTCATCAGAATGACGACGATGGTTGCGAAGCCAACACCAAGAACACCATATCCACGATAATCTGATGAAGACCATTTGCCTCTATTCCTTTACCATACTCTCGGCCGCACACACCGGCGATATTCTCCGGATATCGGTGCCAATGCGAACGGAAGACGTGGGCGTTTTTGGTCGACGGACCTCCGCCTCACGGTCCGACCAGCTTCGGCCTCCCTTGGCTGATGACCATTGACCCGAAAAGAAAACGCTGGCAACAAGATCAAACCGTCGTGACTGCTACACACGTCATCATGCATCTATTCCATGTCGGATGCTCCGAGAGATCTTTAGGCATGCACCAAATTTTGAGGCGTTGGAGCTACCTGGGAAGAAGGCACCAATAGCCCGCACTCCTAGTCCATCGTGGGCACAAGCGGCCAATCGACGCTGCCCAAGGCGAACATGGAGCGAAAGCGGAACGGGATAGGAACCTGTGGGGGAGGGAGGGGCGCTTGCGGGCGACTCAGATCCTAGATATGGGTATGCGGGTACCTATTGACAGACTTACTGGCTGAAATAAGCGTGAGCATTCTGTAACATTTGAGTCTCGATAATGCAGCATTGACGAAAGGGACCCGTTTTGCAGACTGAATGGCTTGAAGCGCCGTCTCATAGAGCTACGGGTAGTGACCGTTGTGCCGACGTCGTAGCCGACGTCGTAAAACGGAGGACATTACTACGGGCCAAGCAATTGATATCCGATGGGCTCGACCGGCAAAGATCGCCGAGGGAGAGATAAGATCTCTGACCTGCAGTGACCTGACTCTTTCATATCCGTCATTTGCGCCGTTGAAAGTCAAACAAAAGGAAGCATTGACAACAAATATCGGCGACCGTGTGCGAATGACTCGGTGGTAACTAGCGATGGATCTTCATGTGCACCTAAAGAGACTGTCACGCATGGCACTCTCCTGCGGTTTACGGATACTATCCTTCACAGTTGGACGAAGGCTGACACCAACTAGGGAGCTTTCATGTCGAGGAACACGTCCAACTCTTCGTGGATAGAATCTCGCACGCTATTCATCCTACAGCCGCTTACAAGAAAATGGTCGAGAACTAGAGGGTGGTAGCCGGCACACCGGCACACCGGCGCTACCATTTCCTAGCCCATAGAGACGCTGCCGGCATGGCCTACACGCATAGCCCAAGGTCAACATTATTCATGTTATGCTTGCCTAGTGCGGCCCTAATGACCGCGACGGTCTCGGGCAAAGTTGGTTGAACTCAATTCCACCTCACGAGCGGACCTGGGTCAGTCATAGATCAAACTTCTTAAAGGCAGCCGATAACAACAGTCAGTCGAGAACGCGAAATGTCGTGAGATGCCATTGTCGCCTGCCGAATGCGCCCTTGGCCGAATCCGTTCATTTGGTCAGACGCCGGTAGCTGCATGTGCATGGCAGATACATATCACAGGCCGCCGACAGCCCATCCGTGTAGCCAAACAGAGGCCACATACTGCGCGCACGGTATGTTGGTCTCTCCCTCTTCCTCTAGACAGTTCTAGTGGGCAGCGATTTGGTCGCGACAGTGGCCCATTCATTCTGTCAAGTCAAAAGCAAGGCCCTCAGGTACGCAATCATACAAGAGACCAACAAAAGACAAGATCCATCGCGGACGGGATACAGGCAGGGAACAGCATACCAGGCCCAACCAGTCAGCCGGTGTAGCATGGCACGGATGGAGATTGGGAAAGTCAATAAACGGGACGCTGGACCCAGTTCCGAGCCAGACGGTGCCACGGTGGGAACCTCACCGGCCCACCGCTATCCAAAAGCAGCTTAACGGGTACAGTGAGGACCCATTAGTTTCAATACACCTCCCAGTGCGTCAGCGTAAACCCACTAACTTCATTATACTAATATAAGTAATATCTCTACTATTTAAGTAATAAATATAACTAAGAAAATTCTTAAAAATACTTTACTATTAAAATAATATGAAAATTATTTTTATAAAATTTTGGTAATTTTCTCTATTACTTAATTAATAGTTAAAAAACTAGTACCCGAGTTTTTTAAAAACGTACTAATAAACACAGTATTATTCGCACTCTTAACGCCCTATAATCCACTATAAGTAAAATTCATCCTATCATATTTTAACAAAGATTTAATGACACAACGAAATTAATATAAAACCTAATATAACTTTTTAATACAATAAATTAATACTTAATATATTATATTATGCTTTTATTTTTATTTTTATTGTTATGCTTAATGCTTATTTTTACTGTTGAAAATCCCTGATTTTGCGGGATACTGTGCGCTGTATGGACACTAATGGGTCCCCACTGTAGCAGCTCTGGACGAGGCCAATTTTAAAGTCGTCTGCTCCGATCCCCAACTGGAACCGGTCGCCCTATGAGGTTGTACGCCCTTGGAATTGATGCCATGGGCCATGGCCTAGGCGAGCCCCCAAACCCTCCGTGCCTCCCTACTCCGTTGCCCATCCACATGGATAGCGGACACTGGCGGTACCTGTCACGGGCTGTAGCGAGTGGTCTCGCTGTGTACCTGGGAAAAGAGGGACATGCACTGTAACGTAATATCCGACGCGCACATCACTTCTTGGGGGTGTGAACATGGGTGTATGGAAGGGCGCCTCCTCGACCATACATGAGATTTGAGAAGTCTTGAAACGACGAATGTGAAGGGGTTGAAATAGGATCTGGTTTGCTTCTCGGTCTCTGCAAAGACTTTGGTCTGCGGTCTGCTAATGTTTATCAAGGCCGAAAGGTTGAACGATCCCAAGAGGAGCATTGGGTATGATCCAGGACACTGCCGGCCGTCTTAGAGCTCGATAAACAGCGTTGGGCGATAGCGCATCTACTTCAATTATCTCGAGACGCAGACTCGCCCGGCTCTGCTTGGCAGTGCAGTTGTTTGTAGTCAGTCAGTCTACTGTGGCCGTACGGCACTGGCTGGCATATTCTGATATTCATGGCTCATTACTACATGCCTATCCGATTGCCAAGGACCGGATGGTTGAAGGGATCGCAGAATGCCGTATTACCGTCAGACGGGCCATTTTGGACTGGACGCGGTCATGTCATGGGGGCCAGCCGGGCGAAGCGACTACGAGTGAAAGCTATTCGTAGAATTGGACAACATACTCGAGCCATTTGGTCGAGCTGTGCCGCCGATTGTCACCCGTCACCAGTGGCTCTGACACCAACCATTCCGCACCTGGGCTGGCTCCGGACAGACGTGACGACGACGGCCACGAGGCACCGAAACCAAAAACATGGTGCACAGAGATGAGTGCAGGCGAAGAAGTAACAGGTGGATTAGCGTCAGACCGGTGAGGCGACGGTTGGCTGGCTGTTTTGGGTCCAGGCCAACGACGGATAGGGCGATGAAAGAGGCACGAACGAACGGTTGAGTTGCAGAGGCAACGGACGTTGGAATTTCAGTTTCCTTTGTACGGACAGGTGCCCTTGGGTGTAAGGTAAGGAGGTAAGGCGCATGGTGGAAGAAGGGGAAGCTTGCCACGCTTTGCCTTTGGAGGTTGA